CAACTCAGCATCAGCCACACTGGCCTCCAGGCTCACACATCGTTTCCACTGTCTGTGTTCACACTTGCTGTGCTCTCCACCCAAACACACTTGGCCCAGATACCACACCCACAGGGTCCCCTCCAAACAACAGCCAGGTTAATCTTTTAAAAACACAAACTGTTCATGTTCCTCTCCTGCTTAAATGACTTTACAGCTTCCCAGAGACCTTTGAACAGAGCCCCCCATCCTTTATCTAGCCTCTAGGGCTTTCTGCTGCCCAGCACCCATCCATGTCTCTGACCTTGCCTTTTGCTGCTCCCCACGGTGCCCACCACTGCCTCTGCCTTTATTATTCCCCCTCCTCTCTCTTGCCTCTGGGTCTTTGCTCTGGTCTAATACACACCTCTCTCACCTCTTCACCTGACATAATTTCAAGTCATACCTTACCAGCCAGATTAAAATTCACTGCATCAGAGGACTTCCGTGTACCCCACCCTTGCCTGGGTCAGCTCTCTCTCCTATTAAATGTCTCCATTGTCCCTATACAGCCTCTTTGAGACCCTCATCCTACTTGTAATTACTTGATCACTATCTTCCCCTCCAGGCTCATATCTGTCCAATCTCTTCCGCATTTCCAGGACTGGGCTTGGCATTGCCTACATGTATTGTAGGTCCTCAATAAATATAGCATGAATGGATAAAAGAATGAGGCTGCTGAATCTACACGGTCTCTAAAATCCATCTCAAACTCAGAGGTCATTGTGGATAGGCCCTAGTTCAAGCATCTCAGATCCTCTGCTAAGGGATCACTGTGTGCTTCCTTTATCCTCTTTCTCTCTCCCACCCTGGGGAAGATGTAGCATGGCCTACCTATGTCAGGCCTAGAGGATGAGAGCTTCTCCTAGAGGGTCCTGTTTGTCTGGAGTTGGAAGTGAGAGTCTTGCCATCTGTAAACTCCTGCAGCCTCCAAAATTCCTTCTGTCAGAGACTTGCTAATGCCTCAGCTTTCTCTCCCTTCATCTTAATCCAAAATTTAATAAGCTGCTGGCATCTGTGGCTACTTGGAGCTTTTATGAGTCTCACTGGGGCACAGAAGCACTAAGTAAGTTGTCCCCTGGAATGTATAAAGAAAGATGGCACCAGGGCCAAACACATTGGGACACACACGGCAGGCCGCTTTGTGCGTCCAGTAAGAGGTCTCTGTGGCAGGTGCATTTACATACCTGGGGGTCCGCCTGGCCAAACCCCATATCTGAGCTGAGTTAGGAAATGCCCTTCTGCCATAAGGGACCCTTTGCAATCTGCTAAGGAAATCACAGTCCAAAAAGAAAGAGGTTTTAGCATGAGGCTTGTACATCTCACTGGCTAAGGAGAGAGTCACAATCCAGAGCTGAAGTCAAAATATATTTAGCCAGCAGCAGTTAAACTAAAACATTGTAAGTAAAAAATGTCAGATAGCCTGACCAATCACTGCAACAGGCAACAAGGAAGGGGGATGGAAATGAAGTGGACAGAACAAGGGCTATGCAAGAAAACGCTAACAAAAATATCAAACACCCTGTCCCAACATAAATCAGTGAGCTGGAGAGGAGCCAGCAGAGAAAACAGTGTTGGCAGGAAGAAAGTGGCTGAATTTACCTTCGCCACCTATAACAAAAATCTGCGATGTCCCAGAGGACAAGGACTATGACTGGTTTTACTCCCTTTATCCTTCTCAGGATGTCTGACACAATGCTGCCCCCCTCCAACATGCCATGCTTGTCCATGTTTCTGTGCCTCTGCACACGTCATTCCCTCTGCCATGACGCCTTCCCCTGCCCTGCCTCGTGAACTCTTACTCAGCCTTCACCTCCTCTGTGGAGCCTTCTCCAGCCTTTCTACCCACCTCTGCACTCCCCCTCCCTTTATTCCAGCTCCTTCTACATCATAGCACCGTAGAGACTTGTTAAAGGAACTGGAAGGAAAGCTCTTCATAGGAGCAGACAGAGTC